GCTGAACTACATTCGTTTGGGCTGGTTATATATTTGAAATAAAGAGAAAATGTTGACTTTAGCGATGACGAGGCTTCATTTAAACTGCAGAAGATGCCGTCTGACAACGAGGGGAAAACGCCTCACAGCAGCTGTTTTCCATCCTATTAGATCACATTTCTGTAAATGATCAGTCCAGGAGATGCTGCTGATGGACAACAGTATCAGCTCAAAGAGGATAAAAGCAGGTAAAATAGATTAAAACTATCGTTTCAAAGCTGTCCAGATGTGACTGTTTACATGCATCAGCTGCCGACCGGAAGTTCTTCGCATTCTCCTTGCGCATACACGCAAAGCATCATGGGTAATTTTGTGTTCCAAGAAAAAGGTCTATAAAAACCAGAAACTCTTCAGCACAGGCATATCTAAAGGGTTAATGCTGACAACTGATGATCAACAGTAAAAATAACGCATTTCAAACACGCATCCAACAATACAGCTCAATAAACATTCTATTTGTTTACTCTATTTACCTGTATGGTTTAATTCTCTTCCTCACATTAACAATAGTTTAAAGGTTCTCCATGTATGTGTATATAAATATATATATATATATATATATATATATATATATATATATATGGAACTCTGAATATTTTGCAGTTTTATTACAGTATTATAGTTTTTAAAGCATATTTTTCGTAAGAAAACTGCTGATTTTTAGCCTAATTTTTTTTCTTGATGATCTCTCACTGTAAGAAATAAAAGTAAAGCACAAAGTGTATTAAAACTGTGAATAAATGAAATGCATATGTTAAATCAGAAACGTCCGACCCTTCCTATCTGAACACACAGCTCAACTCCTTGTTCAAGCTCTTGTTCTTTCCAGACTGGACTATTGCAACTCTCTACTAGCCGGGCTTCCAGAACGCAGCAGCACGAGTGGTCTTTAATGAAGCTAAAAGAGCACATGTCACTCCGCTGCTCATCCGTTTGCACTGGCTGCCAGTTGCTGCTCGCATCAAATTCAAAGCTCTGATGTTTGCTTACAAAGCGACTTCTGGCTTTGCTCCTTCTTATCTGCTCTCACTTCTGCAGATGTATGTGCCCTCCAGAAACTTGCGTTCTGTGAATGAACGTCGCCTCGTGGTTCCATCCCAAAGAGGGAAGAAAACACTTTCCCGAACTCTCGTATTCAATCTGCCCAGTTGGTGGAATGAACTCCCTAACTGCATCAGAACAGCAGAGTCACTCGCTGTCTTCAAGAAACCACTTAAAAACTCAACTATTTAGTCTCCACTTCACTTCCTAATCTGCAATTGCCTCTCTGGCTCCACCACTAACTGTACTACAGAAAAAAAAAATGACTAATGTTTTGCTTCTTCCACTTTACAGACCTGAAACTCGCCTACAGCACTTATTCATTGTTGCTCTTATAGTTGTGTAAATTGCTTCCTTGTCCTCATTTGTAAGTCTCTTTGGATAAAAGCATCTGCTAAATGACTAAATGTAAATCAGTGAATTTGAGTGTTATTAATAATAAAACTGCAACACTGGTGAAAAAAAGTTTGTTCCGTTAAACACAAAAGAAAATATTTTGAAGAATGCTGAAAATCTGTAACCATTGACTTCCATTGTAGGAAAACAAATACTGTGGAAGTCGATGGTGACAGGTTTTCAACATTCTTCAAAAAAATCTTCTTTTGTGTTCAACAGAACAAATGTTTCTCATCAGTGTTGCGGTTTGATTTCTGTTGATTATTAATAACACTTTAACATGCTCTGTACTCTATTTTACATTAATTTCTTATACTGAAATAAAAGATCAAGCAAAAAAACATGCTCAGAATCAGAGTAGTTTTACAGAATTGACAGAATTTGGATGTCTGGGTGATCAGTCCCTTAAAGACAGTCTGTAAAGCAAAATGAGGAAAAAACGTGTGTAATTTCTCACTGCTGGTGTAATTTCAGCACTTTTACTCCTGCTAACATGACTGCACTCACGCCTGGTTTTACACACATCCATCAACAGCACTATTCCTGGTGTTGAGCGTTTCTCAGTGATTCTCTGTTTGAAGCGTCTGCCAGTGTTTATGTTGGAGCATCTGCTTTTCCTCTGCTGTCTGTTTTTGAAGACGAGCTTTTATTTGGGTCAGGGCTTGAGCCAAAAATACCTCCAAAGTCAACACAAATATCAAAATTCAAGATAAGAGTTAAAAACATGTACAGAATGAAGGAACTTTTTTTTGTGAATCTTGTCGATTGCAGTAACACACTTAGATCAGCTCTTGTTGCATCATCAGGTTTTTTAATGCATTTTTTGATTGATTTTGATGAATGTGATGCACTGATGAAAGATCCACTTTAATTTCTTTCCACCAGAGCTGGAGGATTATACTCTATTACTGACTATTACTAACTATACTCCGTTACTGACAACAGATTGCTTGATGAAATGTGCAGTCAATTAAATATTCTCTTAGATTACACGTTTATGGTAATGTAATCTGACTACTTTTAAATTACATTTAGATTACTTTTGAACTGTAATCAATTGCAGATTACATGAAAATATTTGATCTGTTATATAATCTCTTAGATTACGCATTCATTGGGATGTAATCTGGCTACTTTTGGATTAAATTTAGATTACTTTCGGTCTGTACTCGGTTACTGATTACAGATGACATGACAATATTTGGTCAGTAATATAATCTTTTAGATTACACAGTTACAGTAATGTAATCTGACTACTTTTGGATTACATTTAGATTAATTTTGGACTAATTACAGATAACATGATGAGATTTTTGGTCAATAATATCATCACCTTGAAATTATAAGGTTTTATCTGCGTTCTAAATTATTTCGAGATATTTAGCTTCAAAGTTTTTGCATTCCATATAGCAATAAAAAAAAAAAAAGTCTATTATAAAAATATCCCATAATGTAAATAAGTTGTTTTTTAATAAAAATGTCAATAACTCAATTTTAACAAAAATGTTAGAGCCTTTTAATTCTAAGGTGACGATATAATCTCGATATAAAATTTAGATTACCTTTGGACTGTAACATGTTACTGATTACAGATTACTTGACAATATTTGGTCAGTAATATAACCTCTTAAATTACAAATTTACAATAATGTAATCTGACTACTTTTGGATTACATTTAGATTAATTTCGGACTAATTACAGATTACATCATGAGATTTCTGGTCAGTAATATTGTCACCTTGGAATTATAAGGTTCCATACGTTCTGGATGATTTTGAGATATTAAACTTCAAAGTTTTTGCATTCCATATAGCAATTTTAAATAAAAAGTCTTAAAATGTGAACAACTTAGAAAAACATCCCATAATGCAAATAAGTTGTCATTTAATAAAAATATCAATAACTCAATTTTGACAAAAATGTCAGATAGAGCCTTATAACTCTAAGGTGACGATATAATCTCCTGAATTGCACATTTATAGTAATGTAATGGTTACTTTTGGGTTACATTTAGATTACTTTTGGACTGTAACATGTTACTGATTACAGATTACACGACAATATTTGGTCAGTAATATAATCTCTTAAATTACAAATTTACAATAGTGTAATCTGACTACTTTTGGATTACATTTAGATTAATTAAAATCCAAATGTATACAAAAGTAATAAATAAAAATTAAGATCAATAAAAAGTCTTAATATAAACAACTTATAAAAAAATCCCATTATGTAAATAAATTGTCATTTAATAAAAATGCCAATAACTCAATTTTGACAAAAATGTCAGATAGAGCCTTATAATTCTGTGACGATATAATCTTCTGAATTGCACATTTATAGTAATGTAATGATTACTCATGGATTACATTTAGATTACTTTTGGACTGTAACATGTTACGGATTACAGATTACATGACAATATTTGGTCAGTAATATAACCTCTTAGATTACACATTTACAGTAATGTAATCTGACTACTTTTAGATTACATTTCGATTACATTAGATTGTTTAAAGTGCAATGATAAACAATTGATACTTTACAATACTCACACCAATATATCTCACTGTAAGTGTTTGATAAGAGTAACAGTAAATAATAAAAGGGTAATAAAATGCACATTTTCTTCACGTTATATTATTATTGATTGATAATTTCACAGCAGCAATATCATCAAATATTTTATCTACAAACGCTAGAAGTGCAGATGACAGAATTCACGTCATATAACCTTCTCTTCTGAAAGAACATGAAGAATGATGAACGTCTATAAGAGGGAGATTTATTAGGAAAAATATATAAGCATTAGAAATCATATCAATAATAATATCTAATCATATATATATATATGTATATATATCATGTCTAATACCCACACTAAAAAAAAAAAGTGTTGCATGCAGAACTGTTGCAAACAATTTATTTGTGTTGAATTTAAACAAATTAAATTGAATAATGTTCAACTTAATTTGTTTGTTTAAATTCAACACAATTAAAGGGTTTACAACCACTTAACGTAAAAAATTGAGTAAATCCAAGGAAGCATCTTTGAATAATTTTTTTCAGTCCAATGACCATAAAGTGGTTTATTTATTTTTTTATTGTTAAAATATTGATGTCCAGAGACTGTTGTGTAGCCCATTATTTAATATAAAATTCATTTTAATGTGTGATGCGACCAAAAAGTGGTCAAAAACAAATATTTTATCAATTCAAATGAGTAGTGGCTTGGACCCAGAAACAGTAATTCATATATCATGACTAGGCCCACCCGAAATCTGCGCGCGCAGAATTATGCGGATTTCCGCAGAATTTTAGCCCATCATTAATTCTGTTTGTTTACTTGAGTAAATGTGTAAATCTATATTTATTCAGTTTTTTTATTAATTTCAGTAATATTATTGACCAATATGAAAATGTTCATCTGATTTATGCACAATGCAGTTTGTACAGTCATATTTTTTATTTTTTACTAGATATATTATATGACAAGCTTGCTTTATTTCCCAAATAAAGTGAATGTAATTGCATTTGCATTTTAAACATTAAATAAAAGTTTAAAATGTATTAATTTTTATTTCACATATTAGGGTTTTAGTTATGATACTCCCAAAATAATTCAGCAGAAATCCCCAGACTTTTACCAAAATTCTCTGCAGACATGGCAAAAAACATTCGCAGAATCGGTCTGGCCCTACTCCATTCATATATAATATAATTATATATGAATGGCAAGAAAAATTATGAGAATTAATTAATTGATTGTGAACAACTTACTGTCATTATGTCAACAATACTATGTAATCCTGATGTAACAGTAACTGTAATCTGTGTATGAGTATTTTCAAAAGCAGTTTACTCTCATAACAAGTACTTTGTGTTTGTAATCTGATTACATAATCCAGATTACATAGAATCCATTACTACCCATATGAACAACTCTGACATTGTCAGAAATAATAATAATAATATGTAATCATGATGTAATCCATAGAAATAACTGTAGTCAGTTTTATAGTATCTTTATTAGTAGCTCCTCTTATAGTTTCCAAGCACTTAATTTTTGAACTATAATTATGTAATTCGTTACTACGCAGCTTTAAGTATATATGTAAATATAAAGATCCTGACTTTAAGTGATTGGTGTATTTCTGTGTATTCGATCTCTCATTATCACACTGATGTAGTGAATCAGGAAGAAGTGAGTGTGTTTTCTGCAGCGTGTGTGTTTTGTGTTGAAGATCTCAGACAGCCCACCTACTGAAATACTTCAGTCTGTCGTCTCATTTCTTCCCAGAAAACATCTGGCCGCCGCCGCCATGCTAACAAATCAAGCAAAGTAGGTTTCTGACATGTGAAGAGAGAGCGGCCATGATGCGTGTGTGTGTGTGTGTGTGTGTCAGGATCATGTAAACATACATCTGTCCCATGCCGACACACACTCTGACCGGTTTATCCAGCGTCGTCCTCCCGCCGTCTTCTTCTGCTGCTTTCTTCTGGTTTGCGCGTGTCAGGTTTCAGCGCATCTGCTTTCTGTCAGGGGATGGAGACACGCACACACACACACACTGAGATGGAGAGCTGGAGGAGTTTAGCAGGACTGAACACTGCTGTCTGACACTGTTGAGGAGTTACAGGACTAGCAGAGCTGTTGGAAGAGCTACGCACACACACACACACACACACACACACCTTCAGTATATGCACCCTGATCTTCAGTGTAGTGAACAGTAGGAAGAAAGTCTGATTATTCCACATGTTTTCTTTGCTGGTCCGTTGTTTTATTGTTTATAGATTTTCTTTTACATCAGTTAAATAAATGAATAATGGTGATGTTATCTCTCTGTGTGTCCGTGCAGACGCAGGAGGCTGAGAGTAAACACCGTCAGCTGGAGAAAGAGTTCCAGCAGTTCCGGGATCAGCAGAGTGTCCGTCCAGAAGCCCGACTGCAGTCCGAGATTAACCTGCTGACCCTGGAGAAGGTCAGACAACAGCTTACTGATCCTGAGATGATGATCATTCACTCATTCATTCACTCATTCAGTTATTCACTCAATCTTTAACTAATTTCTTTATTTACTTGCTCGTTGTTTCACTCACTCATTCATTCACTCGTTTATTTACTCACTCGTTGACTCACTGCTCACCCATTAATTTATTCGCTCACTCTTTCACTAATTTCACTCGTTCATTAATTCACTCACTCATTTATTCATTAATTCATTCACTCATTCATTCACACACTTATTTTTTCATTAATTCATTCACTCATTCATTTACTGACTAATTTATTCATTCATTCACCCATTCATTTACTAATTCATTTATTTACTCTTTCACTCACTCATTCATTTACTCATTCACTTGTTGATTCGCTCATTAATTTTATATTTACTCACTTGTTGACTCACTTGCTCTTTCTTCCGCTAATTTCACTCACTCATTAGTTCACTCATTCATTCATTTAATCACTGACTCATTCATTTATTTACTCATTCATTCATTCAGTTATTCACTCATTCATTAACTAATTCCTTTATTTACTTACTCGTTGTTTCACTCATTCATTCATTGACTGACTCATTTATTCATTCTTTCACCCATTCATTCACTAATTCATTTATTTACTCACTCATTCACTTTTTCATTCACTCACTAACTCATTCACTCATTCGTTCACTCATTCACTTATTGACTCACTCATTTATTCACTCGCTCAATTTATTCACTTATTAACTTGTTTATTTACTCACTCGTTAACTCACTAGTACACTCATTCATTTAATCACTCGCTTTCTTTCACTAATTTCACTCACCCATTAATTCTCTCATTCATTAATTCATTCCCTGACTTATTTATTAATTTATTCTCCCATTCATTCACTCATTCAGTTTTTTTACTCATTCATTCACTAATTAATTTATTTACTTACTCGTTGATTCACTCATTCATTTACTCACTCACTTGTTGACTCACTCATTAATTCCCTCACTCATTCAATAATTCCTTCACTGACTCGTTTATTCATTCATTCACCCATTCCTTCACTCATTTAGTTATTTATTCATTCATTAATTCATTTATTTACTTCATTCATTCATTCATTCACTCATTCACTCTTTTTTATTCATTCACTGACTCATTCACTCATTCATTTACTCACTTGTTGACTCATTCATTCACTCTCTCATTCATTTATTCACTCATTTATTCACTCGTTGACTCACTGATTCACTTATTCATTTATTCACTCACTCTTTCTTTCACTGACTCATTTTTCATTTATTTACTCATTAATTCACTCTCATTCAGCATCAATTCATTTATTCACTGATTCATTCATTCACTTATTCACTCATTCGTTCATTCACTCGTTCATTTAGTCAGCCATGCATTCACTCATTTACACATTCACTCACACATTCATTTGCTGACTCATTCACTTACTCATTTACTCTTTCATTCATTGACCTTTTTATTCACTGACTCTTTCATTCACTCACTCACTGTTTGTTTGTTTGTTTGTTTGTTTGTTTGTTTGTTTGTGCAGGTGGAGCTGGAGCGTAAGCTGGAGTCGGCCACTAAATCTAAGCTGCACTATAAGCAGCAGTGGGGGCGAGCGCTGAAGGAGCTGGCCAGATTCAAACAGGTCAGACGTTACTGTTTTATTATTCAATCTCTGATATGCTGAAAAAAGTACAGTAAGGGATTATTATTCATTTATAGAGCATTTAGGAACAGTTACTTGTACTTGCTTTAAATACTGTGAATAAGTTAAACTGTTCTGTGTAAATCAGTTCACAAGAGAAGAGTACTTGTATTTTCATTTATATATTTTGCAGAATAATTTATATATATATATATATATATATATATATATATAT